TCAGGGCACTTGGCAGAACCCACCACGGCAGCGGGGACTTTGGGGGGAGGGAGCGGGGGGGCGGGCGGTGCGGAGTCAAGCCGAGCCTTTGCAGTTTTAAAGGGGCCGAGCGCAAGCGGTGCCCCCCCCCCCGGCCATCCCCCCCCCGGTCCTCTCGGGCAGATTTGGCTGGGGCAGCGAAAAGGGCTCGAGCCAGAAATGAGTCTGAGCGGTGGGCAAGAGGTGGGGTCTTGGCTAGAGGACAGAATGAGGGGGACGCTGCTGTGAGGAAAGCCCGCGGCGCCGAAGTTACACGGCGGTAGGGTATTTCTCTGCGCCCCCCACCCCCCCCTGCCCCGCGGCAATATAGGAGAGAAAGATGGTTGAGGCAATGCACGCCTTGCCTCTGGTATTGCGCCGCGTAAACCCCCTCAAATTGGCCTCACTCTTGGGTGGAACGCCATCCATTTGGGAGAAGAAAAATGAAAGACGGGGCTGACGGGAGGGAGGAGGGAGGAGGAGGAGGATGCAAAGACGGAGCAGGGGCACAAAGGCTCGGAGCAGCTGGGAGAGGAGTTGTGCGCGGGTGCGCGCGTGTGCGCGCTGTTGCGCTTGCAAGCCCATTCAGAGGCCGGGAGTATAAGAAGCGGGGTGGGGGTGGGGGGGAAAGGAAGGTGAAGAGTGAGTGATGGGCTGGGGGTGGCAGGGGGTAGGTTCGCAAAAGCAGCGCCTCCTCCGAATCGGCAGGAAAAGGCGCTGCTTGGGCTGTTGTAAATTAGGCCTGTGGTGTTGGGTTCCATGTGGAAGATGTGAGCTCACTTTCTACCCCCAGGGTGGTACAGCCCCAGCCAAGGGCTGGCAGCAAGAACATAAGCTTCATTTATCTGGGAACCTGAAATGACTCTTGATTTAAATCATATGGTAAAAAGCACCCAAAGAAGAAGAAGAAGAAAGAACAACATCAGCAAAAACAAAAAAACCCTCGCCTGTTTTTGGAAGTGGTTCAAGAGCCAACACACACACACACACACACACACACACACACAGAGAGAGAGAGAGAGAGAGAGAGAGAGAACACACTTAAAGAGGCAGTCTCTGCTTTCTGCTGCAGAATCAGGCAGCCAACAGACCCAGCGGTTCAATTCCGCATCGCCAACAATTGCATCTGTGGATTGGGGCTAAATCTGAGAATGTGTCTGGCTCCGAATGAAAAGAGACATTATGTCGTCTTGGGAAGGAAGGCTTTTAAAACAAAAACTAATATTGCCAGTATATAAATCCAGTCACTGAGGGGATCTCTATATGGTGGGGTGGTATTAAACCAAAGAAAACTGGAATATGTCTATCTCGATCTCCCATTTGAAGGAGGTTTTTTTTTTTTTTTTTACTAGCTTGCATCTCTGCGCGGGTGATAGTGTGGATGATTTGTTTCTTTTTCTGGAGGAAAAAATCTTGAGATTGACTTGTGTTTTATCCTTCCAAAATACTATATGCTCATTTACTCGCTTGGTGACAAAGTCACCCAATCTCTGCAGGATAATTTTTGCATGTTCCTTTTCTAGCAGGCAATTCTGATCTTGAAAAACAGGAAGCAGTGAGTGCCCTCGCTCATGTACTGAGTACTTTTGCCTTATCACAGAACAATGCTAACCAGTTTTCACCAGTTTCTTGGATTTGGGACTGTATTCTCAAAACCAGGATGAGGAGAGGGGCAGGGTGGATAAGCTTCAGCACCAACAATTCTTATTTTGGAAATTAATCACAGTATTTGTGTGTCTAACTTCTTTCCCTACTATAGTATTTTAAAAAAACTGTTGTTGTTTTTTTTAAAAAACTGGCCTTTTGCCTATGCCCTTAAGAGCATTTTTCCAGAGGCAAAAATTAAGCCAATAAAACTTTGACTGGAGTGGAGATAAGTAGCATCAAGAGTTTACTTTGCTAAAGCTCATTGTGTCTCACACTGCTGATTACAAATAAGAAGCAAGACAGATCTCTCCCCCCCCCCTGGTACTACTAGAGTGAGCTACCAGAGATCAGGGTATTTTAAATACATATTCCTAGAGCCTCTATATATACTTATCAAAAATCAGCGTGGTAATTTCTTGCCATAAAATGTGTAACTTTAGTCCTAAAAAAGGCTTGGCATAATTTTTTTTAAAAAACCAACCTGCTTCCCCAAAATTTTCTTGGTCCTACCTCTGTGTAGTTCATGTCTGTGAAGATCACTATTTCACTCATTTAAATTCATCACAAACTTGACTATCTGTCTCCAAATATGAAGTGTGCCCCTCAGCCACAACATAGGATCCATTCCTGCTACAAACCTTCTAGTTTTTCTAGGCATATAATGCCTATTTCTTTCTTTTGCCTTGGTAGGCCTTCTTCCAATTGGTCTGTTCTCAAAATCTCTTGGGAAGGGACTTTCAAAACTTTAAAATCCCTGAAGCTATTCATTTCTAGGGAAGAAAGAGCCTCCCCCACTCCCATTTTCACATCAGAAGCCTTGGATTCTACTTAAAAGTTCAGTCAGATACAGTCATCTGCATCTTGCAGCTTTATTCAGCCTGTGAAGAAAATGCTTTAAGCAGACCACCTGCTTAAGAGAACTATATACAGGTATTCCTCAACTTACAACAATTCTTTTAGTGACTGAAGTCACAATGGTACTGAAAAAAGTGACTTATGTTTTTCACACTTACGACTATTGCAGCATCCCCGTGGCCACGTGGTCAAAATTCAGCGGCTTGGCAACTGAATCATATTTATGATGGTTGCAATGTCCCAGGGTCATGTGATCACCTTTTGTGACCTTCTGACAAGCAAAGTCAGTGGGGGAAGCCAGATTAAGAACCATGTGACTAACTTAATAACTGCAGTGATTCACTTAACAACTGTGGCAAGAAAGGTTGTAAAATGGAACAAACCTCACTTAAAAATGTCTCGCTTAGCAACAGAAATGTTGGGCTCAATTGTGATCATAAGTCAAGGACTACCTGTAAAGTGAAAAAGCTCTTAGCAGGATAATCAGTCTAATTTGCCTTCTTGTGCATCTATCGATGCACTTTGGTATTTTAAGTGGTATGTGTGAGAAAATCATTATAAAATAGATAATAGTGTCATTGCTTTTCATTATTTAAAACATCTTCATATTACAGTAGGCATGCAGAGGAGATTACTAGTGTTTAAGCAATAGCCAGCTCAGACATACACACCCCCCTCCATTTTCCTAATCCTGCGGCTGACACCAGCTTACCTACCTCTCTGAAATACTCAGGATGTTCCCATCATCTTCCCACTATTCTCAAGAATGGCCAGGTCATCTCTGATCTCCACTGGAACTTCCAATCTTCCTGCCAAACCACCTTCCATCACAAACAAACCAGTTCCTGCAAACTGAACTGAACTGGCAAGATAACACCTCTGAGAAAATCACAGTATAGCACTAGGGTCTACGAAAGGGAGGATCACATGAGTGTCCATGAGTTAGATTCTCTAAAATGGGTGGGGAATGATGGCCCTTTTATGATTTGTGGAGTTCAACACCCAGAATTCCTGAGCCATCCAGCCAGGCTCAGGAATTCTGGGAGTTGAAGTCCACAATTCATGAAGGGGCCATTGTTCACCACCTCTGCTCTAAAAGATGGCCTGTTCAGTTTCAATAACAAGGGACAGGTTTTGCCTCCACAATTACAGAATACTATAAAGCAGGGGTGTCAAACTGCCAGCTCACGGGCCGGTTGTATCATACGGAGGCCGCGCCCACCCCAGCTCTGGCCATGCAAAAAAAGTCACGATACGTCGCGACACATCACGTGATGCGGCGAGTTTGTCACCTGGGCTATAAAGTATGGTATTCCCTTTTGTGTCTGGAGATTGTCAATCATCCAGGTCATGGTTTTTCCAAAGGTGCTTCTCCAAAAGGCAACTAGACTGTCTTTTTTTTTTCCCTTTGGAAACATTATAAATCCTTCCATTCCCCACCAATCAGTTAGAATTTAAGATCCACTTCTTGGATGAGAAGTGAAATGTTTTCAAAGAAAAAAACAAGGAAGTCCAGTTGCCTTTTGGAAAACCACCTTTGGAATATTCACTTTTCTATATTAGAAAGTGTGGAGAAAAGTTTGATTGAGGCGTATTCTCTGCACTTCTATGGTAGACCCAAGGTTTTCATATACAAAGTTCAGGAGTCCATCTCTACTTCATGCTAGAAAAGTTTCTGTATGAAAATCTGCAGAGCTTTTTCAAAATAGACCAGCCTTCTGCAACCTGGTTCCGTTCAAATGTGTTAATTACAATAATTATCATCCTCAACCAGTATGACTAATATCTTGGGGGAGTTACAGTCTCCCTAAGATATAGTACACCAAGATGGGGAAGGCTGGGTAGACACTATTTAGAAATATTGATTTCCTGAGGGAGGGGAGCTGGTGGAGGAGAGGGTTTTTCTTCCCGAATAGTTTTGCTGGCTGCATTCTGTTTATTTTGTTCTGTAGGTCAGTGGGGTTCCCCTGGGAAGTGTTTTGTCTCCTTTTGACTAATTTATCCTTGACTAATTTATCCTACCATGTACTGCAGCAGGTGCCAAACATTGTCACCTTTCTCTGCTCATTTCTTATATTTCCACAATAAAACTTTTTTTTCTGTCCCTGCTTCTCTGGCCCCTAGCAGTTAAGAATGAGATGAAGGCACCTGTCTGATACATATTTATTTTTTAAATTTGTGTGCCTCCCAGCGATTCTGGATGGCTCACAAGTAAAAAAAGAAAGTACAATAAAAACTAAGAATAAAAGTTGGCAACAATGTCAAAAAGGCTAAAACCTAGACAGAAACTGGGGGTGGGTGGTGGAGGAGGGGATGAGTTCTTTTTCTACCTCATGGTTTGTTTTTTTGTTTTTTGCAAGTGTTTCCCAATTTCCATCTCTTCCTTGTGACCATCCTGGATGGCAATGGAGAAATAGTGCTGGGAGTGGGCTGTTTTCTCTACAGCTGAATACTACTAATGTCAATTCATTCCTTTGCAGGACTGCGTCAGAAGGAGACAGGAGAGGAATGGCCTTCTCCCTTTGAACGGGATGCTTGCGAAGGCCACAGTCATGGGACCATCTGCCTGGAGCACTGTCAGCACCAATCAGCTTTCTTAAGAGGAGTTTTTCATTTTCTCACGCATTGACTGTCCTGTTCTCAGTCATGGCTGTAAACAAGGATAGAGGCTGCTCTGGTGGGACTCCTCTGGCTCATGTAAATGGCTTCCCCCCTGCTGTATACCCCTTCCCTTTCCCTAACCCACATTTCGAGGTGCTGACCAATGGAGGTTACTTCCGGAGCTACCCTACCGACCTGCCGAAGGAAATGGCATCACTGTGTAAGTCCCTTGAAGGGAAGTGGTGGCGGGCAAGTTGGCACAGGGCTGGGTGCAGTTGGGGTGTTGGTTCCAGACCTTAAGGACCATCAGGACTCAAAACCCTGTCCAGTGTTGTGGGCAAATTTGGTTTGAGTGCTGTCCACGTGGGACATAATGCAATGAGAGAGAGGTTGTTGCGTATGGATTTATTTCTGCTTTTAGGTTGTTTCTCCCCATGATACATAGCAAACAATCAAGCATTAAACTGCAGAGGCTAAATGTTTGTGACTAGCACTAGGCTGGCTTAAGTGTAATGAATGAATGCATCTTCTCATACCCTGGCACTTTCCAGCCATTTTGGATTACAACACTGATCATCCACAGCCAGCACATTTCATTCAGTTGATGGGTCTTGCAGTTCAGTGCATAAAGATAGGGAAGATTGCTGTAAATCAATATTTTGAGCCAGAAACTTGGTTCGGCCCACTCTCTCAAGTGTGTGACATTTTAATTACGCCAGCACTGTATTAGGGGCCATTACATTTCACCTTTCTCTTGTTCAGAAGGTTTGGACTCAGTACTTCAGAATCTAAAAGAGCGATTCCTACAAGTATAGCAAAATCACTGTACTGATTTGGGGGAGATTTCCACAGGAAGTGTGACCTTTAGGAACAACATGATGCAATACCAGAATCTTCTTATTCTAGTTAAGCAGAGGAAGATGATAAGCCTGAGATTTGAATATATTAGCTGTATTACTGATGAGGATAATAATAATAATAATGATAAAGTTGGAAGGGACCTTGGAGGTCATCTACTCCAAACCCCTGCTCAGGCAGGAAACCCTATACCAGTGGTGGCGAACCTATGGCATGGGTGCCAGAGGCGGCACTCAGAGCCCTCTCTGTGGGCATGCGCGCTGTCACCCCAGTCCTAGGCCTTCAGCTGGGTTTTATAAAACCTTTTCGCTTTAGGCCTCCACCGCCGTGTACAAAAAAAAAAAAGGTTCAATCAGTCAATTTCAACTTCTTGCGGGAAAAAAAAATCTTGCAAAGTTGGAATTGATTGATTGAACTTTTTAGTCCCACCCAGTCTGCTGTTACTACTGCAGCCACGCCCACCCAATGGGCCACACCACACCCACCCGGCACCCGATGATGCATAACTGGGTTTTGGGTTGCAGTTTGGGCACTCGGTCTCTAAAAGGTTCACCATCACTGCCCTATACCATTTCAGACAAATGGCTGTCCAGTTTCTTCTTAAAAACTTCCAGTGTTGGAGCATTCACTGCTTCTGGAGGCAGGTTGTTCCACTGGTTAATTGTTCTAACCGTCAGGAAGTTTCTCCTTAGTTCTAGGTTGCTTCTCTCCTTGGTTAGTTTCCATCCGTTGCTTCTTGTCCTGCCCTCAGGTGCTTTGAAGAATAGCCTGACTCCCTCTTCTTTGTGGCAGCCCCTAAGATATTGGAACACTGCTATCATGTCCCCCCTCATCCTTCTCTTCATTAAACTAGACATACCCAATTCCAGCAACCATTCCTTATATTTCAGATTTTATCTGAACAATGGAGTTCATGAAATCTAATTACAAGTTGATGGCTTTCTGTTCCACACCTTGCTATACATTGTGACAATCTTCAAGTTCTTCAGTAATCAATGTGTTGCCAAAGCAATCAGGGAGAAGAATAGAAATACAGATTCAATTGATTCAGTCTAATCACCCTACAGTTGTGTATACTTCGGGCATTGTGTGGTAACAACCCTGACTTCAAATTGTAGAATTGTAGAAGCTCATATCTTGGGATCCTATATTGTTCATGAACATATCACTTGATGCTTGTGAGGTGTGTTCAAGTAAACAAGTCCAAAAAAGAAAGGGAAAATAACCTCCCAGATGCCTCTTTGTTTCTAGTGCTTCTGAGGGCTATATACAGGTAGTCCTCAACTTACGACCACAATTGAGCCCAAAATTTACATTGTTGAGAAACTGGCTAAGTGAGTTTGCTCCATTTTACGACTTTTCTCACCCCATTTGTTAAGTGAATCAGTGCAGTTCATAAATTAGTAACACAGTTGTTAAATGAATCTGGCTTCCCCCGTTGACTTTGCTTGTCAGAAGGGTCGCAAAAGGGGATCACATGACTCCAGGACACTGCAACTGTCATAAATGTGAGTCAGTTGTCAAGCATCCGAATGTAAATCACATGACCATGGGGGTGCTGCAACGGTCATAAGTGTGAAAAATGGTCATAAGTTGCTTTCCCCCCACAGTGCTGTTGTAACTTCGGATGGTCACTAAATGAACTGTTGTAAGTCAAGGACTACCTGAGGAGTTCATGAGGACTCTTAAAAAGCAAAGGTGGTGGTGGTGGAAGCTTAGCATTTTGTACAGAAGCATGCCTGTCTCCCCAGAAAGAGTTAAAGGTGAAACATCCCGAAGGGACGGAGAGAATCATTTGTAAAACATGGAAGCTTTTCACTGTCACTGTGAACAGGCCAGACCCACGACAGCATGCTGTCGAAACTCCACATATACCCACCAACTTCCAAAGTTTGCCTGGCTTCAGAAATGTTTCTGTCCCAAATTTGCGTTTTGGCATCTAATTAAGCCAAATCCCACTCTGTTCCTGGAAACCCCTTTGGTGGTAATAGCACCCTTGGGTACATAGATTTGATTTGGAATCTGGGCACCAGATGCCTTTGAGGACAAAGCCACTGAACACTGGACTTTTATCTCAGAACATTTCATGGACCATTTTTAAAAAGAATTATTGCTACATGTGGCATCATTTGGTTATCTTGAAAATAAGGGGGGAAGCAGTGGTGGGATTCAGCCAGTTCGCACCACTTCGGCAGAACCGGTAGCTAATTTTTTGTTGCCCAGGCCCAGAATGGACTTCCGGAAACTGCATCCGCACAGAGAACCGGTTGTTCACAAACTTCCTGACAGTTAGAACAATTAACCAATGGAACAACCTGCCTCCAGAAGTGGTGAATGCTCCAACAGTGGAAGTTTTTAAGAAGAGACTGGACAGCCATTTGTCTGAAATGGTGTAGGGTTCCTGCCGGGGCAGGGGGTTGGACTCGATGACCTCCAAGGTCCCTTCCAACTTTATTATTATTATTATTATTATTATTATTATTATTATTATTATTATTATTATTATTATTATTATTATTATTATTATTATTTGAATCCCACCACTGGGGGAAAGGTTTATTTATCAAGACCCTACGAAATGTATACATGGGTATAAAAAAGAATTGCATTATATGGATATTTTAGAGGAAATTAATTATGGGTGGACTGAATTGGCTTATTCAGTAATTAGCTTATTAGCTTACACAATACCCTGGATTTGGAAGTAGGTGTGTGAAGAAGTTCTTTGTGAAAAGACCCACATAAGGTGGGGTGGAAACCTACCTAGCCTTTATTTTGGGATGAATCACTATTTGGAGATTGCATCGTCTTTGGGAATTGCTCCCTTCTGATTTCCCTGAGGGGGCTACAAGAGAAAGTTGTTGAGTGGAAGTGCCTTTCATTGTGTGTGTGTGCATGCGTTTATTGTGCTTTGCTTGTGCCGTAACACTCTTGACCTGGGATACCAAGAAATTGGGCCCAGGCTCCTCCTGGTTATCGTACTGCGTTCTTCACGCTTTGGGGCATGTCCTGACTTCTCTGCCTTTATCCACCCCAAGGTGTGCCCAGGCTCTGTGCCAGACCTCTGGGCTCTGCTTAGTTGCATGCTTCCCATCTGCCAGTGCAGCAATGGGAACCCTTTGTGCTTTCTCGTGTGCAGGTTTCAACACGCCAAAGCAGCGTCCCCACGCTGAAGGGCTGTCAGTCATCCATACCTCCAGTTCACTGCATATCTATGCACTTTGTAGTTGTGAGCCTAGGGCTCCCCTGAATGGGGCTCCCGAGAAAGAAGGAGTGAACTTTTATTAAAATAGCCCCCTCTTCCTTTTCTCTTGGAGTCCACTGCACCATTTTTTTTTTGGGGGGGGGGGGTTTCCATTCATGGAATGTTGAAGCTTTGATCTGTGTTTCTTTCCCAGCGATGCTTCTGTCTTTGTTAAACTGGAACCTTCATTGCATCATCGGCTCTGCCAACTGCAGTTCATGCTGCGACCCCCACTTCCAGATTCTCCAGGTGTATCTATATACCGGTAGTTTATCCGCCAGGGGGCATCATCTGAGTTCGTGTGACTTGAGCCAGACTCAGATTTCTGCTTGGTTTAGTCATACTGTACTTACTTACCTGAGGAAGAAGTTTCTTTCTGCAATGAGCTTTTTCCAGCATGGCACATGTGGACTATTTTGCACAAACAGGCTTTGCCCTCAGATCTGCCTGTTGGCATATATAGGTTTGGTAAAATGCATTTATCATTGCTATTCCAAAGTTTATCTTCTGCTAATTTTCACATGTGTCCCCACTCCTAGATCTATCTCAAATATACTTTCACAATGCTGTTATTCAGTTACTTCCTGCTCTGTATTTTGTTTTTTACATCAGATGGATTCCGAAATAAGCACCAATTTATTTTTCAAAATGTGACGCTTTAAACCCATTGTAAAAATTGGATATTACAGGTAGTCCTCGACTTAACGATCATAATGGAACCTGTCCATCATGGTCATGCGTTGTAAAGGTCGTAAAATGAGTCGGTCATGTGATCTTTTTTCTGTGTGGCAGTCGTTAAGTGACCTCCGCGGTCATTAAACAAATCAATAGTACTCTATAGATGTGATTTTGCCGAAAACCAGAAGTAAATTCGGGGTTTTGGCAAAACCATTGTAAAGTGTGCTTATGTGATTTCAGGACACTGCAAACAGCAGTCATATTGTCGAGAGCCTAAAGTTTGGTCATGTGACCACAGGGGAGCAGGGGACTGACTATCAGAATTTCGAATCCCAATTGTAAATAACCCCAAGTTATTTGAAGTTCTGATAATCTGTTGTAACTTCAAAAAATCACTAATTCTGGTCATAATTCAAAGACGACTTGTAGCCTTCCAAGTG